TTAGTTTTAGTAAAAAGCTGCGTTTATTCAAACTATCTGTGCAAGAAAATTATAAGTCAGGTAGCAAAGAAATTGTAAGCAAGAGCTTGTTTCAATTCAAAGGTTTGTCTCATAATGTGATCTGTCTCATTACTCACGCATATACTCTAATGGAGAATAAGCTGCTAACTGCATGGTTTATAATCACAGGAAGCCAGTCAACCACTTCATAGGTCCATACCTATGGCCACTTCAGGAAGGCATAATCTACAGTAAACAGGCTGCAGCTAGAATAACTGACTCCATCTCAATAGCAGCTTCATTATTATCAGCTAGGACTCATTCAACAGCTAAATCACCTAGCTACTGATACTCTATCATTGATAGAGGTCTTTTAGGTACTGAATTTTCTCCTTTTGAACACAAGAATGGCAGGGTAGCTCTTGATTGAGAATTTCAGAGCCTTTTTCAACTTGATTTTTTCACAAAATGCTGAAATAGAACTCTTAACAGTCTTAAAACTCAAGAACAAGACATGTGGGTGTGGTCATAACCACACCTACTTTTTGACCACTCCCACTTTCAGCCACACCTTTGCCCTACTTGCAGTGAAATCCTGCAGCCGCCTATGTTGTCAGTGTCTTCTCTCTCCTCCAAATCTTCATCTTTTGGAGGCTCCATTGCAAGTACCTGGAGGTGTGACTGTGGGCGTGGTTCATTAAACTTATAGACACACCTACTTATTAATGGAGCCATTCAAAGAAGGTACTTGTGGCGGGAAAATCTCAGTTTGATAATATTATTTTAGCTAGAGCTGATGTCATTACAGAGTTTATAGAGGCTGCCATACACTCCATACTGTATGTCAGAGGAGTTTACCCAGCAGGTGACATAATTTTAATGATCTAATCAGTTTCATAATTAATTTTAAATTATATATATTTTTTTATTTAGCTATTTTTAAACCCAGAAGAAAATATGGGACAACAGTTCATGTGAGCTTTTTATAATTATGCGTGTACATTTTATTGGGTGAGACGTACAATATCAGTGAATGTACGTACATTGGGTGGAGAATTCACCTTTGGAATTCACTATTCACTTCCTATTAACATAGAAATGAAATGAGCCTCTTAATTGTTTTAATTATTCATTGTTATTAGATGTGTTGCCATGCCGATATTAATCAATACATAATTAAAAGTCTAAAGACTGTCCACTCATTACTACTAGAGGTGAGAATATCTAGTGTATAATTCTTAAGAGTATAAGACAATGCATAAATCGTGGTACTCCTATCTAATGATTTCAGTTCAAATTATCAATTGCTCAGATAAAAACTCCACCATCATTATGTATTGCACAATGTATTACTTGTAGCAGTAGTACACTCGTTTATTTTTGCACACTCTCATCATACACAACTTGTGCATGCCTACCATGAGCTGAAGCCTTCTCTGGCAATCTATGGGAGAGTCTATTATTTTAGCTGTGGAGCTTAAAATGCTTTGATCAGAAATCTGATAAGATAATAATCTTACAAGCCACATCTATAATGAAAATTGACATCAAACTATTAACTTATTTAACAAAAATACATAACACAGCAAACTCAGCAGCAGTCATCATGCATGTTCATACTGGAGAGTAATGGTTTTGTTGTACTAAAGAGTGCCGGTTTTGTTGTACTAAAGAGTGCCGGTTTTGTTGTATTGTAGAGTACCGGTATCGAGTTGTATTGCCTGAGAGTGGTTCTGTGGATTCCTCTTCAATAATGTGCCCATGCAAATCTTCTTCTTCATCTAGATCTGTAAATAATAGAAGACTCCATGGGTAGAAAACAATCAATATTATCATTATTGCTAAGTTAATAATGTCCATATTTTGGTAATTGATGTAGCCAAACAGATTAAGAGGAAATAAAAAGATTGTACTAAAATTTACAAGAAGAGTTCCACTCCAAAGTATTGCAAACATTACGAAACAGGTACAACGAACAGCACATGAATCAAACCTATCCATGATAAATTTAGGAAACTGTAAATGTATCATTGTTGATATTTTAAATGCAATAGGTGGTCCAACTAAAAGAAAACCACCTATAAAACCAATAGTTTCAAGTGGATAATATTTAATTCTATAGCACACCACTTCTTTGCCTTGATATTCTAAACAATTTGTTATGTTCAGTTCTGCAGAACTAGTTGAGTCACTAGCCAGAAAGCAATGAAAACCTTTCGTGTTAACACAGTCATAGACTATCTC